ACAAAAACTATAAAAGTATCTCATGATTAGACAGACAGACTGTACAAAAGTCACAGCTGTGTTGTGTTTGCAGTGTTTAAGACAATATGTCCAGCTGGCTATTCGGGGCGGCGCAGGCAGTGCCATCACCTGCCCTGATCCGGCCTGCAAGAACACCAGAACTCTGCTGGACTCTGAGGTACTTCTGTCTATCTCGCTCGCAGTTCTTCTTTCTCAGTCAACAACAGTTTCCAGTTCCACAGTTCATGCTACAAATATTGACTGCGCACACACTGGCAATACGGAAATCCTTCCACTACCAAACATCTATTTTAATTACTTTGAATCAATTAGACCTACGATTTACCTTCCCAACATCAACAAAAACAAAAACTTGCATTTAAACGTTCAAAAGTTTGGGGGTCAAAACTGTTCAGTGTTTTTAAATAAGTCTCACCAAATGTTCACCAAGGCAGCATTTATTTGATCAGAAATACAGATAAAGAATAATATTGTGAAATATTATTACAATTTAAAATAACCATTTAAAAATTTTTTTTTTATTATATGTTAAAATGTAAATTATCCCCGTGATGGCATTACTCCAGTCTTCAGTGTCACAGGATCCTTCAGAAATCATTCTAATATGCTGATTTGCTGCTCAAGAAACATTTCTTATTATTATCAATGTTGAAAAAGTTGAGCTGCTTAATATTTTGTAGAAACTGTGATGCATTTTTCAGGATTCTTTGATGAATAGAAAGTTCAAAAGAACAGCATTTATTTGAAACATTTGACACTTTTTAATAAATTAACTCAACCTTGCTGAATAAAAGTATTAATTTCTTAAAAGACCCCAATCTTTTGAACAGTAGTGTAAATTAACAGAGTTTGGGAGTTGACTCACAAAAGCAACCACTCAGAACACCCTAGCCACAAAATTAGCCTTAACCTTAGCAACCACATGACAATGCCATGGCAAATTAAAATAGATTCAAAGTGAACTCAAACGGCGTTGATGAAATTTGTCCGGGCTTGTTTAGCCTAAATGTTCATTTTGCTTTCAAAGGTTGCCACAGCAAGAACACAATGGCTTTATTCATCATGAATGTTTTCCATCACTGTCGAATGTTTCCACACGTCTGAGTATTATTTTCCCCTCATGATCTTCACCAACCTGTTTTGTGAACTAATGCATCATAAATCAAAGTACAGTGATTCAACAGTAATATAAATATTACCTGGCATCATGACTCTGGTCTCTGGAAAACTCTGTTCTGACACTCAGACGTTTCATATACATGCTAAACTGTCTACATGGCACTTTTTTTGACCTCTTTTGTGTTATTTCAGTCTTTTTCTTGTGTCATATAATACAATAATTTCTACTCAAATCAACATCTAATTTATTTATTTATTTACTATGTAGATGTGTGATAAGCAGGATCATTTCACGAAATTGACCAGCTGACTGTATATTATGTCCTACATATTCATGTGCAGTTCTGTAGCTCAAACATGACGCGTTCCGACATGACCTGAATATAAATTCATATCCTTCTTTGTACAGCTCGCCTTGTTTGCCCCCAGCGATCAGGTTGAGCTCTATCAGCGGCTCCGATTTGAAAGAGGTACGTGCTTGTCCATGTATGTATGCATGCATTTATGTGCCGCTTTCCATAGTGTTACTGTAACCATCACTGAAAATCCTAGAGGGACTATGATAGGCAGGAACAAACAGTTCTAGACAAGCAATGTGAGTTATAAAGAGGCATAATTTTATGCTTACTAGACTATTTATGTCAGTCAGCGGTTATTGCTGATTTTAGTGATATATTGTGTTGTTTCCATCTCTAGTTTAAAATATAGCAATTGAAAATCAATCAAAACTAAGTTATGACAAAAATCAGATCTCTTAAGACTGTGATCTGTAGTGTGAAACATGGCGTTTGTTCAGAGTGTGAAAACTGATTTGAAATCAATATTCAATCAAAAAACATTTTCCTCAGTTCCAATGTTGGCATAGTTTTGTAGGACAGTACAGACAGTAATTTTACCACAGCAGCAGCTTCTTGGCACATTAACTTGGCACAACTTGGTACCCTGGTAATTTAATATAAACGCTGAAAACATAAAAACTGAAATTTCTTATAATAAAAACAATTATTAAAATAAAATATCTTTGGATTGTGGGATATCACAGCAAGAGAAGGCGGCATTTTTGCTGCCTTCAAAAAAAAAAAAAACAGATGAAGTCATCTTACACAAGATATTACTCAAACATGACTTGATAGCTTCCTATGTCCGTCTATACCAGGGGTGCCCAAACTCGGTCCTGGAGGGCCGATGTCCTGCAGAGTTTAGATCCATCCCCAATTAGGCACACCTGAACCAGCTAATCAAGCTCTTATTAGGCATACTAGAAACCTCCAGGCAGGTGTGTTGAGGCAAGTTGGAGCTAAACTCTGCAGGACATCGGCCCTCCAGGACCGAGTTTGGGCACCCCTGGTCTATACTGTCCACAAATGCCAATATTTTGACGTTTCTGACACAAAAATGAGCTTATGGTCAATAGTTGTATATTTTAGAATCAGAAACGGTTTTATCCTACGGCTCAAGTGTGAGTGTGCTGCTGGTTGCTGGTTTGTGTCTGCCAGGGTCCAGCTCAGCGTTTATAGAAGCGTAAACAATGAGCTTATTCAGACAGCAGAAGCTGTGGGATTTTCTTCTTCCACTGCCTCTGTCTGCATCTCAGCTGCCCCCAAAATGCTAGGAATCGTCTAGACTTGTCTGTGGTGTCAGAGTAAACTGTGACATTAGTATTTGCAGAAGTCTTCCTGAGACCGCAAGAACGTCCCGGATTTGTGACTGTTAACAGTAAACCTCAATGAAAAATTGTCAGTGAGGAAGTGAATTTTGCAAGCAAGTGAATTGGCTTTGCCACATTCCTTTTTTTTTTGGCTTCGAATGTTTTTTTTTTAACCTCAGTTTTTCTTTTGGTCTCTTTCAGGAGTTCAGTTAGACCCCAGTAAGGCTTGGTGTCCCATGCTGGACTGTCAGGCCGTGTGCAGTGTGACGCCCGGAACCGAAGGCAAACCGCTTCCTGTGCCCTGCCCCGCGTGCCATGCCGCCTTCTGCTGCGGCTGCAGAAGCCCCTGGATAGATGGTCACTCCTGCTCCCAGCACCAGCCGCTGATGGCACCATCAGCAGACAGGTCAGTGTGAGCGATTTACCACCGAACGAACAACTGTTCATCATTCAGTTCCATAACACGGCCCTGTAAACGTGCTCTGTGTGTCGTCTCTGCAGTGCACTGAGCAGCGCTGATACTGATGCAGCCATTAAACAGTGTCCAATGTGTGGCGTCTATATAGAGCGCAATCAGGGCTGCGCGCAGATGCTCTGCAAGAGCTGCAAACACACCTTCTGCTGGTACTGCCTACAGAATCTGGATGTAAGTGATTCTAGGGGTTTACAAATGTTCTGCCACCAACATCACAGATTTTGGACACTACGACAATAGAAATACCATGGTATTATAAAGTACCATGGTTTTTACAATGAATGATCAATCACAGTACCACATTAATGTATATTTTTTGGGACAAAGTACCATGATTAAACAATGATATTAAAAGCAATACACTATGGGCACACCTTGATTTTTGGACATGCGTATAATAATAACAACAACAATAATAATAGTTATTATTATTATTATTACAATAATTTAAAATTAAAACACATTTAATATTATAATTCAAAATGAAAATTAATAAAATTACAAGTATTATTAAAAGAATAATAATAATAATAGATAAATATTTCATTAAATATTTTATTTAAATTCAATTTTAATATAATAATAATAATAACAACCATAAAGTGTGATGATTTTTTTTCTATTAATTAAATTTTAATATATTATTTTTGTATTAATTTTAATATTTGTAACAATTTTACTAATAATAACAACAACTTTCCATTTTAATAGTCATTTATTATTATTATTATTACATCGTTTAAAATGAAAACACATTTATTATTATAATTGAAAATGAAAATTAATAAAATATTTATAAGTATCTACTGATAATAATATGAATAATAAAATATGGACATATTTAAATATTTAATTACATTTCAAGAATAATATAACAAATTAATTCAATTTTAATATAATATTATTTTTCAATTGTAATAATAATGCTAAAAGAAATAAATTATTATTGTTATTATAATTACAATCATTTAAAATTAAAACATTTAATAAACTATAAATATTTCTTGATAATATGCATGATAATAATATATGAATATATTTAAATACATATTTATAATAATATATAATAATAATAATAATGTAACAAAATTAATTCAATTTTAATATAATATTAATTAAAATTTTTAATAATATTTTACATTTTTGTTTTGTTTTGCCATTTATCATTTGTAAGCCTTTTTGGATAAATGTGTCTGCTAAATGAGTAAATGTAAATGTCCCTATGGTTACAGGGCGATATATTTCTGAGACATTATGATAAAGGACCATGCCGAAACAAGCTGGGGCACTCCAGAGCTTCCGTCATGTGGAACAGGACACAGGTTAGCTGGAATGCCAGTTTGCACTGTTTTTCATTATGTCAGACATTTACCAATTTCCAAATGTCTCTGGTGTCTAGTTTTAGAAAGCACCCATCTTTGCAGCTTTTTCAGTTGACAATTTTTTTTAATCCGCAAGCTTAGACCGTTACTATCATGACGTTAGATGAAAACTACTCGCATGCAGTGAGATCCCAGTTGAGTTTGTGTGTTTTGGGTCGTTGTGATGTGTTCAGGTGGTCGGTATACTGTTGGGCGTCAGCATCATCGTGCTAGTGACGTCACCACTGCTGCTGCTGGCCTCTCCCTGCATCCTGTGCTGCGTGTGCAAACCCTGCCAGGCCAAGAAGACCAAGAAAAAGAAGAAAGACAAGAAGCCATCAGATTCCACTGCATAGGAGAAGTCCTAATAATCAACATGTGTAGCATCCTCCACGTGCCACTCCTCAGTCTCGCTAGCCAGGTGCACAAGTGCCTCATTCTCAGTGCCTGGTAAATTCAGTGGATTTATTTTGCCTTCAGGTGCATTATGGGAAAAAGGAGCTTGTTGTTTATTGAATAAACAGCATCTGTAAAGGAATGGCCCTTACTCCACTAAGCCAAAACATTTGTTTATGTGAGCTATAGAGGTTATATTAAAAAAAAATTATTAACTGTAGCAATGAGTTAAACTCTTTTTATTTCCATGTAGCCTTCCAGACCAAAGGCCCTGCTGTTTTTTCTTGTGTACTGTAATATATAAATACTGTATTTATGAGTCTGGGTACTGTCCTGTGTTCTTTTAACATTTGTTGATTTTTCGGCATCAGATATTTTATAACTTCATTACAATAAACGAAACACCTGAGCAGTGAAAGTGACCAGTTTCTATGTGTTCTTATGCTAAAATGGTTAGAAAACATAATTTTGTAACATTAACATAAGCATTTCAAGTTATTAAACACACACACACGCACGCACATAGTAATATTTAACAATAGAGGCAGTTTTTTTCATTATTTTTGTTTTAGGGTTCATACTCTAGAGAAACAGCATGAAAAAGAAAGCATTTCTCGCACAGAAAACAGTTGTTGTATTGTATTGTATTTCATACCCAGCTGGGGAAATTTACAAAAGAGTTTCTGCATAAGTGAGTCCGTGAATATTCCTGGTTCTTTCGTTTTCATTTTTGTTTTCCTGGTTTCATGCTTTCATTTTCATTTAAATAATGCGTTCTTTTTATATTTGAGGTCTAGTTAGCTTTTTAAATGCCTCTTGAAGATGAGAAAAGGTGGATAAGATTGAAAACAGTGTGACAAGGCCTTTGAGAGTGTAGTCACTTGATGTTGAGTTCATGGCCTGTCTGTTCCTGTGGATCATCATTGAAGATATTTTGAAGCATTAATCTTAATTTTTCAGTATGTTAATATAATAGTAAGAGTCAAGAAGAGTGAAATCTCCTAATGAGCATGTACAGTACTTAGAAAAAGGTACCACAGTTATTTTTCCATATTAGAATGTAATTACACTTCTTCGTATGGGTCTTTTCTGGTCTTTAATTTTATTCTGGGTTAGATTTAAATTGGAATTATCATTCATTTGCAACAAAATAAACATTTCGTTAGTCTGAAATGCTGCCGTTATTGAGACATTATTGGGTAAAACGCACAGTCTATGGTAAAAAGCAATAGAGACACCGTGTGGTCACAGGTTGAACTGCAGACATTGATTTGTTTCTACCACAGTCTATGGTTTCTACGAAACAAGAATTATGTGAAGTATGAAGTATGATAAGAAGTATGTGAGTTAGAGAAACACGAGTTTTAAAGAACGCTGGATATTTAAAAAAAAATCCACAGTGTTGAACTAAATAATTGATTTAATTTTTGTTTTTTTTTAAGTAAAAAAGTAACAGCAGGCTAATACCATGTAGCAAGTGAACACCCTGGCATACAAGTTAATCATTCAGTTAATCATACAACCACAACACGTTTTTGTAAGAAATGAAGGCACGTCTAATGCAGTGGCGGCTCGGTTTTAAAATAGAGGAGGCACACTAATTGTATTGGTCTGGGATCCCTGCCGATTATTATTATTATTATTATTTGCTTAACCACTTTAAAATGGCTTTTTTGTTGCTTTTAGTCAGAAAACGGAAAGAAAACGACATACATACAACAAGATAATACAATTTCACTTACCTGGCCTATCACTTGAAGCAAACATCCATCCAGTGTTCGAACTATACCGTGGACTTTGGGGGAGCCCACTTGTTTTTTTTTTATT